ATAGCAACTCAATTGGAAACGATGAAGCAGACGAACTGGCTAAGAGAGGAGCAGACACAATATTGTATGGACCGGCACCATTGCTGCTCATACCTCAGGCTCAAATTAAAACGTGGCTGCGTGAAAGAACTCAGAGAACACACTTAACAGAGTGAAATGCAGGCAAACGAAGAGCGTAGTTCCGGCGTCAAACAAGAGACTTGCCCGCACCTTTACCAGACTAAATAGGGACAAACTCCGCAAGATTAAAGGAACCCTGACTGGTCACTGTCCCCTAAACAATACACCTCTACACAATAGGAGTGACAGATAGCCCTCTATGCAGAGAATGCATAGGAGGCAGAAGAAACGCCACAGCATGTCATCATGGAATGCAAGAGTGTGGCCGACCAACGGGCACGACTTCTCCAGTCGCCAGTATCGGTTTCGGAAGCCTGCAGCATTCTCCCAAGGCTGCTCTCTTTCTGGACTAGCTTAGGCTAGCTGGAATGAACGGGAATGTTTCGAGACACGTATTATGGTCCAATAATTAGTTTTATTATTAGTTGTTTCTAAAAAATTATAGTATCAGGTATAATAGCAAGCAAACATATGACGTATATGCATATGCCTTAGGTAAGCGGCCACTTTGCCCTGTATTCATTTTACATCGCCACAATATTTTTGGTTCATATTTATATAGCATGACGCATTAAATTTTGAATTGCTTTTTAAAATATTCAGATCTTAACAACAAGAATCGATAGTTCAGTGATATAAAGCTCGCCTACTAAGTAGCGGTCTGGGTTCGATTCAAAGCCGAGCAAGGAGTAAAAGTTTCACCTGCATCGTGGTTTCATGACACCACAACATTTTTTTTGATACCAAAGTGGCACACGCGTGGTTCCTACCCCGAATGCAAAGTTTACTCACTTCAGGAGCACGACTCTAAATAAAGAAATTTGTCGATTGGCATCAGACATCTCTAAGGTAGAGGTTACATCCCCAAACCACTCGATGGAACGAAAATCCACTGCGCCTTACCCTATCAGATGGTACGTACTAACTGTCTTAGTTCTTTATTTACGTCTTATAAAGATTTGCCACATAAAAGCTTGGTTTACAGTGAATTTAGCGCAGACATACACTTACATGTTCTACCGACTTATTTAAGTCACTCCATCACAAGGATAAGGATGTCTTCCACTATAGTACAATTGTCTGGAAAAGTCCATTTTGTAACACTGAAACCACAGAGAAGTCAAGTCTCCCATACAACCTTGATTCGACACCTACAGTACAACAGTCCATAGATAATTAAAAAATGAGGCAGCTAAGCGGCTATATAAAAAAAATAACCATACGACATGAAAATGATTAATAATCATATTCCATATACGACCAGTCACCGGCACCGTGAGAAATCTAGTTGATACCAACACAGCATTGAATAAACCACCTACATAAAAAAATATACACTTGCAGGGAATTCTCACAGTGGCGTCATTAGGCAAGTTCGCATTACAAAGGACATATTGGGCCCATGTGTGCCAAACCTTTCACGGTCGAGATTGTCCCCACATTGTGCCCAAATCAAATTATACCGAAAAACTGTCAATAGACTAACCCGACTTTTGCACTTCATCAAAAATAAATTTATCTCTGAATACTGCCTCGTCCCTGTCGTCTTTGTATCTGTTACAATAGAGAGAGAAAAAACCTTTAGACCCCTAGTCATTCTTTTGTGTTGTCAGTGTGTAAACGTAGAACGAAATTATTGTTTTTAACTAAGTTTTTGTGTCCCATTTTCGAGTGGCTAATGCATATTTTTTTTCGCTTACAGACACCTTTTTTTTCTATTTCAATACAATAGGGCACCATGAAACTTTTTCATTATTTTCTAAATATGTAGGAATTCGTTATCACTTTTAGTAGATATGTATATGTGAAAATAAGCTCGAGACAAAGAATTAAAAAATTACTCATATTTTGTGATCTATTAACCTACTGAAGACCTATTAACTCGTTACTAGCCACGTGAAAATCTTCATTACATAAAATTATTAGCTCTGATTTTTAAGAAGAAGTAGGTACTCCGCGCAAATCTCCTCCGTTTTTTGGATGCCGGCTAAAATAATTATCATATGAGTTTCTTTAAGTAGAAAAATATTCCTTTCTTTCCATAGCAGTTTCGCAAAACGGAACAGACGCATCATCAAGCTTTGTAAGAACCTCTCACTGTATTTTTTTTATAATGTCTACATTGTTACCTACTATTGTAGCATAGGGCTTATGAATATTTTTTAAGTCACTCGTATTTAATCAAAAGAAAAATTGTCCATGACACAAATAAAAGCAAGTCTGTAAAAAAATTCCACTGTCATTTTTCTAATTCGTTGACCACTTCTAAATATTACTGCTACAATTTAATTTTTTTGGTTAATTAATTGTGCTCAAAAAATTATCAAACCAATAGGGTAAAAAAAAACTAAATTGACCATGGTCATCCTTTAGGTCCCCAAATACATTTTACATAACATTGTTGCACCAGTGGTTTTCAACCTCACCGCCATCTAGCGAGCCCGGCATACAATAAAATCTTAACAAAAGCAAACGGAAGTATGGTTTCAGAGTAGCATTCACTTTGGAACTGTCATGTATAATCTAGCCGAATGCTTTACAGATAATGTTTAAGTTGATTGCTACGAGATGGCGTAAAGAAACTTTCAAGCTCAAGATAGAAAATTATTAAAAACATTCAAAGGACCTAATTAAATAACGTGAAAAAACCGTTACTGTTCTATTCTGTCTCCTATCCCTACCAGCTACAGCTACTACTACATTCTTAATGATAGAGCCTACCATAAACAGTAAAAATGACAATAATGTGTCAACTTGCCAATTTACCTAATAACATAATAACAAAATTTTAAAGCAAGTGCAGCATTTTTATATTTAAATTTACCCAATATGTTTAATTTTTGATAAAAACGCTCACTGTTTCTCAAATTTAAGTTATAATTTTTTGTTTTCGGCCCTTTTGTTACCGAGTTTCCCAGAAGTCATGTCGCAAATATTTCACAAGAGTTGCTACACATCACGGAGTTCTGGTTACAAATACCGAACCCTGTCCACTAACACTGGTGAGAAGAAGCGGCGAGATAGCAGAGAAGATTGTACCTTCGACAAAAAGTTTAAGGAGCTTCAAAACGAAATAGCTTGTAGAATCAACAAGCAAATGGAACAAACGCAGAAGGCGCGCCTCACCATTTTAGAGAAGTTCGATAAGATCGACTCTAAAATTAATCAGATGTTGGAATTAAAGGACACTGTGACGAGTTTGAGAAAGAATATTTCCATGGCTGAGAATGCGTTGACAGACATAGTCCAGAAGGTAGAGAGATTAGACGCTAACATCACAGGAAGTGATGCTTACACCCTGTGTTCAATGAAAAGCTCCTTCAGATCGCATCAACCGGCTCCAATTTTCGAAAAAGACGAAATTTCGTATACTTAGTTATTCAAAACTCTAACTCACTGTTATAAATTAGCCTAAAATCTACTTTTTCAGGGCATTTTATTTCAAAATAAACTGATGTTTGGTTACTTCATAGTATGGTTCGTTTGTGTTAAATAGTTCTATGACGTCTCATCCCATTCCCTTGCTGATCTCAAACTAATATTCCTAGCTCAGCCTAGATAGTAAGACAGACAAGTATTGTTATATTATTAAATTTAACAGCTGCTCCCTATAACTTTACGGCATGGAAATATTTCCATTAATTTTCACCCAAAAAACAATTTTCGAGTTCTGTGTGGAAATGAAAAACACAAGTAATCGGAACATTTTATTATATATTTTATTATTTTTCTCGGGCTCATATAATTATTATAAATTTAACAGCTTAAAGCTGAACACATCAATTACTATTTTGACATCAACATTTGGAAACATAACTGATACCTAAGTTAACAGATACAGGTGTTTTAACTATAGATTTTATAAATGGTCATACCTACATTACTTCATATGATTTTCTCGTTTACAACGTTACAAATACGTTTCATAATCACAAAAGAACGGTACGGTAAAAGGTACTACATCAATTTCTGCTTGAGCTATAAGAATATGAAAGTCCTGTGGTTCTTTATGTTTCTTCAATATAATAATAATGAAAAAGTACAATTGAATAATTTAATGACATGAAAAAGGATTTGTATGGCACGATCCGTTTAAACGGAAATGAATGGTTAAAGTTAATAAGTAGATACGACACCATTAAAATTTCGAAAAGTTGATGAAGAAAGGCAAAAGGCAATATCAAAAGAGCCATTAAAAATACTCTAATTCTAAACATTTTTTTATTTATTGACGTCATATATATGTACTTACAATACGACTAGGGAAATAATGGAAGTATCAACTAAATTATTTAATAATAAAAATTGTAACTAAGTATAACAAATAGCATCATTCTCAATCGCTTAATGCAAAACAGTAAATGCAACAAATTCTTACTAAAATAAAAACTAGGTAAACAATATTTTGTGCACCAATAATTCGCAATTCGTTCTCAAGTAAATAAATTATTTCTAAATACAAATTGTCGTACAATTTGATATGTAATAATTATCTAACAAAACACCTTACAATAATACCATACAAAATAATTAAAGTTCAGATCAATTAAACATAGATATCACAACATTTACGATACATAAAAGTGCTTACTACACAATGATACATGTACCTAAGTAAACTACATTGCAGCTGAGCTGCACCTCATTAATAATTGGTATATTTCAGTTCATCACTTCGAAAAACCGGTCTCAACAACATGATGCAATGAAACAACTTTTAGCCGCTAACTTTAATAAAAATATAAATGAAATTTCTCTAAAATTTTGCTACAAACATGGACAGAAAAGCTAACGTAACCTTTAAAAGAAGGTTAGAGTAAATTAACCAAAATAATTAATGAGTAGAGTCAATATTAACCTACTTTTATAAGTATAACAGTTCTCAGTTCGTAAAAAATACAAAAGAAGGCATTCTTCCTATAACTTTTCATCATTTGCTCCAATTTCCCTAAATTTTCTCACTTATAAGTATACTTCCGTCTTCTTTTTCATAAGTATAGTTTTATAAAAACACTTTTCAGTTTGTTGGGTGGTTTACACATGATTTTCTACTAGAAAGATTACACACAGAAGGAATTTAATAGCAACCATTCACTGGTCATTTTCTTCAAGTAACCATAAAATTTTAAGAATCTTATTCATATTACAGATATTACTATCTTTAGTAACTTCTGTAGTGAACCCAGCGTGATGTGTATAACAGCTTGAAAAATCTTACCATCTCATGTGTTTTTACACATAAGACGTGGATGCCCTATCTCAGTCAAATAGGCAGATGAACGCTCGCAGTAGGCCGTCCCAGAAGCATGCGCAGCAACCCTGTTTGTTATTCTTGTCGTCAGGATTAAAGCTAGGCTGTTTGGGCCTTTTCGGGCGCCGCGCGCATAGTTTGCTCGGCTGAGTGTCCTCGGGTGCTGGTTCGGATCTTGAGCTCAAGTGTACAGGTAGTGCAGCTGGCTCAGTCGGTCGCGGACGTGCCCAGCGGCGCAACAATCCCTCTTGCTCAGCGCCCACTGGCACAGGTGCTGATAATTTTCTCGCCCTCGCTACAACTAAAGCACGCTCCATAGGCTCCAGCAGCTCCAAGCCCAAAGCGCGATCCAACTCTTCCCCAGAGAGCAACAAGTATCTTGGACAATACGCGAGCTCTCCTAGAGCTGCCCTTTTATTGGCAGAAGTCAGTTCCCTTTTGGTACGTTTGCAGGCGGCCGTTGCCCATCTGGATAACGCTTCTGCTAAGACGAGTTCGTTGGATACCCGTAGAGTGTCACGTTTAACTATGAGTGCAAGATCCTCATAAGTGAGTTCTTCAAGTCGTTCATCGGTAAGAGCAGCATCAGCGTTATCGTCTAACACGAGTAAAGCATTGTGAGCCAACGAGTCACACCATCGTGAACATTGCGCCAGAGACCGTGCTGCTGCATCGTCAGATAGAGCGGGCAGAGGTGGTGCGGATGCAGCTCCGGGAAGTCTCGCGCATAAGAAACGCAAATCTCGCAGAATTTCTAAGGCGACGCCTGCATCCAACATCTCGTCGAGACGTCGAGCACATCGCTCCGCTAGTGGCGCACACAGGAACTTGTATGCAGCATCTAGGGCACATCGTGCCGTGGCGACGGAGTTGAGCTGCGTTGGCTCGCAATAGTGGTATCGGAGAAGCTGTTCGAAGCCGCGGCGATCCACGTAGTCGACAACTATTACGTCGGTTTTGGCAGATAGGAGCGCAGCAAAAACTGGGCTGGTGGCGGCGAGCACACGGCGGTGGCCGGGGTAGCGCCAGGTGTCGCCGTTGATACCGGCGACGAATACAATGTCGCTTTGTTTCTCATCATCATACAAGCGGGCGTTTTCGTCGATTTCTAGACCGTGGTATTCACCGCCGGCGCCACCACCAAGCTCGCTGTTGCGCCCGGATTCGATCTCATCCTCCGAGTTGGAGCGCGCAGGATTAGTCACCACCGTCATCGTGTGTGTATACAGGCGACACCTGAAACGGAAGAAACAATTTTTCTTAACACTGTGAAACGATTCCAGCTTTGAATATTACGACTATTATAGCTGTTATAATTTGAGTACCAAACCACGCCGTTAATTAAGTTGATAACTAATTCACAAATAAGTATTAATGAAAGAATGAGGAACCTACTTATATTAATCACTATAAGTATTGAATTACAAATATTTACTCATAATGTTTCTAATGTAATTTATCAAGTTTCATTTAGAAGATTTTCTAAAATTATAAGTTGATCCTTGAATACACAGCTGCTTTACTTCCTGTGTACCTATACCCAGAAATTCAGAACTATATGCTAAAAAGTCAGTAACTAACTGTTAACACACTTGTTATACCATTTGTGAGTATATAAACGCCATATAAAGAATCATTATTGCCTTGGTTTGCATTACGAATCATGGGAGGTAAGGTGCTAAACGGAACACCAAGGCAATTGTTGTTTATGCAATGCGCTTGTTTTATGTGTATTTTTTAATGTAAATGATCAAGTGCGAGTACTATTTCGTTCTAGGATGGAACAGAGAATAACTCAACCTTTTTACAGAAGAACAAACTAATTGTTTTTTAGGATTTCTTACCCAAAGGTCGGTTAAAATTTAAGATAAGAGAAATTTCGTACATAGGTAAGTAATTGGAAGCTCTTTGTTTGTAACTCCGACTTGCGATTAGTCGGATTTTGATGAATAATTTCAACTTGCTTAAAACGTTTATTTACACATCATTGGTACTTAACTATTTGCCTAATTGAAAAAGAACGAAGCGATGTGTGCTACTAAGGCGATTTTTCTCGACAGTTTTTCACCGAAACCGGGGCCAACGAATGGCTAATTTCAACAAGAGCAGGAAAGCGGTACGTCATACTATCGCGAATCATGCGTCAACACACTCCACGGTGGATGCGTCATGTTCCGCGCATTCCTCGAGAATAAACAAAAATATACGCACCACGCGGGCCAGAAGCACTCGCACCCTTCTCATAATAAACTTTTATCCAGTTGGAAGTGTCAGATATAAAAGTGCATTACGATCGAGTTTGAACACTTGCAATCAGGTCATTGCCAACGTATATTAGATTTATCTATCCAAAGAGTAAGTAACAACCAGCAGCAGTAACTACCTAGCCTTTGATGAATGTATTTATTGGAATATTATATCTTACATTTTTTACCAGAAGTAACTCAACTTGTATCTTATATCAATTATTATTTATCTAATAATAGTACAGGTGAGAATATTTCTTCAAAATGAAAATTGCTTACACTTGGTTCTTTTGTATGGAATTCATATTAACAAAATTAAATGGAGGCGATCGGTTTGTTTTCTGTGCACATTTAAATGTGTTATCTTTGAAATAAAAAGCTTTGAAATACTAAAAAAGCATATTCCTCCTACTTTTTCTTCAAATCACAAAAAAGAAGTAAATTATCATGCGTCATAAGTCGAAATTATCATGCGTCAGAAGTCAAAATCACTATTATACCGATGACATGTAGTAAACTGCATCCATTTCTAAAATACCGCCGCGTAAAATTTTAACGTTTCCGTATTATTCGTGTTGTCCATTAACATATTATTCCTGCCGCAGCTGTCTCCCCGCCAAAGACTTCGTATATTACGCAATTTTTAAAATCCGCATAATGTATTTTCGTCCGAGAGAAATTTAATGCAATTTCGAAACAGAAGGGACATTTACGATTGCCAGTTATTTGTGATGCCTCCGGTGACCCAGATAGGCACATTCGCAGAGCTACTGCTGGTCTGGATGGAATTGCCCTATATTTAGGCGGTAATCCATTCAGGTTACGAAAGCTTGCGTCTTTCTGCTCAGTTAGAATCGTACAAGGAGCTCATGTAGTGCTCAATCTTAATGCTCTGTGAATAACGGGTACTAGGTGCAGTGAAATGCCGAGAAGATTTAAATACAGCCGTGAACAGGGCCCTAACACTTCCTATATACTCTTACATAGACGACAGGATTGTAGGCAGGATTCTGGGAAAAAAGTTTTTAAGGGTTTACTCAGTTCGTTGAATGTCTGCTTTGCATATGCATGCTTCAATTAATCCATTCGAGAACATAGGACTTGCATTCATGGACATTCTGCATTATTAGAAGCAATATTATTCTTGATTGAATGATTTATAATTACGTAACGAAATAATCATAACTCAGGGCAAATAATTTATTATATTAGTGTTATCTGGATATAAAGAAGGTCCTCCTGGTCGCTGACGCGTGGATCCTCGTTACTCGATTTTAAACTATATTATGACTTAACACTGATAACTCGAGTGAGTGGTTAGTGACCTTGCGGCTTGAACAATGCTCTCTGTATTCTTACATAAACAATCTATACGCATTATTAAAATCAGAGCTGCGTTTGAGAGTCCTTTAAATAATAAAACAGCCAAACGTAGTGAAATAGAGACAGACGGATGAACGGACGGACAAACAGCGGGAAGACTAAGTGTTACTCTTTTAGTGCGGAATGCTATAAACTCTCATTACAACAATTAGTTTCGGAAATGATAATCGGTAATTATCGTTATTCTGTTGACTTCTGAAACAGTCAACCAATGTACCCATACTGTCCCTATCTTTTCTTTTGCAAATAAAAGGTAATTTTTAGATGGAACATATCTCGAATCAAAGTTTTTCAGATATGCAATATCTTCAATGCTAGTCAATTGAATTTTAACAACAGTAAAAGGAGACGGGTCAAAAGTGGTAGTCGGTTCCCGGCAGCGATGAAAATATTCAGCGCTACTAATCATTGAAATCATGGTGAAATTATTATATCAATTATGTGATTGATTCTTCTTAAAATAAAATAGACCCCAATAGAATGAGATGTACAGAATATTTATCCCTGCATTAGCTACTTTTAGAATACAATATATTTGATGCTTTGGCAACAAACAGCAGGTAAATAAATTTGCCATATGCCAAGCAATATTTATGTAATCAAAAATTATTATTAAAAAAATTGGCGATTAAAGAAATACTAGTTTTTACAATTAAGTGCATTACTTGTCATTAAAATTTCGAGTCTGCCGGAGACTTACTATCACCCTCCATACAAATTTAAACTGTCTCCTTTCTTATAAATTTTGTTCTATGGGTTTTCAATGCCAATTTTCTTATTAAGATTATATCCAATATTTGAACTAAATATACCTATTGAAAGGGCATGAGTGCAACCTAGTCTTGACATCGACCAAAAGCTATTACAGTAACGTAACACATATAATAAGGACAGTGAAAATGAATCGAATGCAGATTGTCGACGAGTGTGTACACATCTGAAATAGAACATTCGTGCGACATGCGGAAATGCACGCGCGGCGCGGCGGGCGCCACACTCTGCGCGTACGCAACGAATCCAAAGCTTGCAGTTAACGAAATACTACACTGTTGGAAATATTACGCAATAACCTTATACATGGTACCTTTAAACACTTTTTAATTGTTTACAAACCATACTCAAAAACCTCAAATTAACTTGATACTTAATTAAGGCCGGATTTAAGGCAGAGCAGTGGCCCTCAAGAAGGGGGCCCCCACAACAGAGAAAAAATATCCCACATTTTTACATATATTGCTTATGATGGAGTGTTTTTTCCGTATTCCTTTAATTCGACAACTTTTTTAAATCAATTAAAAGGCTAAATACCGTCCTCAAGCTAAAACGCTGCTAAATGACAAAACCATCTTTTGAGATATGGCCAAAAAACGGCGCATAAACTTTATATTATTGCTTTTGGTAATCATTAATCATATGAGGGATTTTTACTCGTAGACTTAAACTATAAAATGTATGAATACTTGTTAAAGACAGATCGATAGAGAATTAAAAACTGTATAAAATGAAATTTAAGACTGATAAATCGACCACATGTCACTTAGCCGCACTTTAGGTTGAGAACAAAGGTTCACAACTCCTAACAAATTGTGTTAACAAATATCAGAACGATTAGGAGAATACTTCCAGTTACAGACACAAAACTAATAATTACATCTAACCACATTATTATAATCGGCTGCTAATATAGAAACAAATAAATACTTTTTAGGTCTACAAACAATATTTGTTGAACAGTATGTTATGTATTTCGTAATAAGGCCTTTATTACAAAGCGGCATTGAGAACAAGATGCTACAAATAAAGTATTGTTACAATATTTGTCCGTAAGCTGAGTGACCTCACAGTTAACTGAATTGGGCAGAACAGATAACAAATAATATATTCATAGCCCATATTCAATAGCGCGATGTTGTATGTTTGTTTTTAAAAGCCAAAACCGGCATGGTTCATTGAAAAATACTGAGCGTAGAACCATTATAAACAGTGTTATTTTAAATTATCTGCTTTGAAACCAATTGCATTACTTACAACCCATTCACGGCAGTCTTAAGTCGCCGTATCGGAAGTTATATATTTTAAAATATTTACATAACTTTATAAGTTAATATTTCTTACACACACCAATTACCCTGGTTGTGTTATGAAATACTAGAGTAACGGATTAAACAATACGTAATGATATACAGATATATTTTTGTGGAAATATATAGGCAGGTGTAATTAATAGCCATGACTCAGGTACTAATCTTGGTATTCAAAATGTTCATCTGACATTTTGTCTCAGTAATACTCAGTTAATAGTGATGGCATAGTTATCACATCCTTTAAGGTGTGATAAAGCATCAAAGAACTCTTATTTCTATATCTATATCTATATCGGATGAAAACCTTTCATTCGCTCACACTATTTCCCAATTTGACATTGTATAGTGTTTTTACAGCTGTTAGTCTACCAATTAAAAATGTATCTAAGTAACTTAAATAAGTACTTAACATTGAGACATGATAGAAATATTATTACAAATCTATTTAAAAATAATGTATTATCAGTCAGTACTTATATTGAAATGAATCATTCTAACTACTGGCTCTGGGCAAACTTAAAAG